ATAGTAGAACCACGGTCCCAGAATATGGATTACAAGTTCCTCCCCTAAGGAGCATATCACACACACACATCACTATAATGCAAGGGGGAATCTCTCTATGCACATGTACATGTCGCTATTATGTGTACATGTGCGAAAGTTTGTTGAGGATTTAACCTTCGCTCTTACAAGACTACAATTGCACAAAGGAGACTATGGAGCTCCCTTAGTTTACAAACCATCTTTGGGCATCTCTCCAACATCAACAAGGGATGACCCTCTAGAAACCCTCAACGATAATGGCATTTGCTAGGGTGAGGGTTTTGGACATGACCAGGGCTATAAATCGTCTAACCTTGGGTCAGTCAACCAACACAGCACTCCCACTGAAGTGCATAATCTATCATAATTTTTATTTACATGCTCTCACTGGCTTTAAAGTCCACAAAAGCCTAAAAGGGTTTCTCACTTAAAGGGAGCTTGAAGCTCATCTTCTATGGTAGCTCCTTGGGAACTGTAAACCCTTTCGTGTAGGGATGTTCTTAGAGATTGGGGATAAGCACCAATTTTTGTCATGTCCCTTTTATGGCTATGACTAGGCTCTTCTTTTGGTCCTTATGCTATTTCCATTGTTTATTTTGAGCCCCTTAATGTGAAATGATTTATTCTGCATTGCTAAGTGGGTTTGATGAGAGAGGGCACACACCTGGAGAAGCACAGTTGTATGGGTGAAAAGGTGTCTGCAAAGCTCTAGGAGGGGAGTTCATTTGTAGAGAGGAATTCTCCCTTATAGTTGGATAGATTATAGGTGGTATGATCGGGGAAGGGTTCTTGTCATCATGGTGTATACTCTAGACTTCGTTGCAGTTTTCCTTTTAATTTCCTTTTTCTCTTGGATTTAGCAGTCTGAAGTTTTCTTTAATGATTTGAGTTCGTGGAATCAAGAGTATTATAAACTTCTACTAGCCAACTTACTGGACATTACCACAAACTTGAACCTTCCTACAAGTACTTATTACTTTACAACAGTTGTGAAATCTTTTCATGGCACCAGAATCTTGACAATATTGTCATGGTTAGGCTGAACCTGAAGCTCTCCCCCCCTGCACCCCCCATGCCCTCCCTCCCTCTTTCTTTCCTTGTTTATGTGATTGAGGAAATCGTTAGGCGATGAAACCTCTAAGGCCTATTTGGTTCCTCAAAAATTTCCAGAAATAATTCACCCCTAAAAATAAAGGAAAAGTTTATATAAGGTGTCTAGAAGTATGGTGCACCTAAAAAATCCTTTAGAAGAGTGTTTCGATGTTGGAAAACCCTCCAATTGGTCAGCTCGACCTTGAGATTTATGGACTAGAAGAATAAAGGAGTTTCAAGTTATAAAATTTGTCCAGCGTGTAACAAGTTATCTGGATCATCTATTTTGAAGATTTTCAAGTATTTATAGATACGCTTGATATGTACCATTCTTGGAATATTAAAACTCATAGTTAGGTATGAAAATAGATTTTTGGATGCCATAAGGTTCCGATACTGGAACTACATATCTAGGCAAAATTTAAAGGTGCGCCTTACTTCTACAATATAAGGAGGGCACCTCATATAGACCTCACCCAAAAATAAATCGTTGAAAGATGTGCATCCTTGATTTAAATATACCCTACTTAGTTAGATTATAGATGAAATTATGAAAATATTTTTTCATTGTTTGGCTTATACAATATATTTATTTCGTAGAATAAGTAGGCCATTATTCAACCTTATAAAAGACCAGTCTTGGATTCAGCTTCCCCTCTCTAAAAAAATTACCTTTATTTTTGTGTTTTCTTCTTTCTCCCCCTAGTTTCTTTCTTTAGTTTTAGAGCTTGACAAGAACTTCATATGGCACAACCCTTAAAGGGAATATCCAATCAAAGGCAAGTGTGGGTGCTCCATGGATTTCCTTTCAACTCTCTCCTACTGTATTTTTTTGTTTTCTGTCAGCTTTCTCTCTCTATCACCTCCCTTTCCCTCTGCAACTCCATCAAGAAAGCCTATATTCCATAATCAAAAGAACCATCCATTCACAACAACAAGAAGAAACTTGCTCTGAAAATTAAGAGGGAGAGGAAGAAAACCTTAAAAAAATGGCAATAGACTTCATCATGGGGAGTACCCTAATGGATTTTACTCTCTGCAACTCCATCAAGAAACCCTATATTCCATAATCAAAAGAACCATCCATTCACAACAACAAGAAGAAGCTTGCTCTGAAAAGTAAGAGGGAGAGGAAGAAAACCTTTAAAACATGGCATTAGACTGCATCATGGGGAGTACCCTAATGGATTTTACTTCTGCTGGTGATAGACTCATCCATAGAGATTCCCTCTTTGACCCTCTCTTGGTATGATTTTCTTTCTCTTCTCTCTCTCTCTCTCTCTCTCTCTCTCTCTCTCTCCTCTATATCTATCTACTCCCATCTCTCGTTCCTGATTTTCTCTCTCTTATTATTTAGAGGAGTGAGAACCATAGTTATAAAGATAGGCCAGATCGGATGGGCCCGTCGGACTGCCGACTGGTGCATTTGTTGGTCTGGTCTGAAGTAAATTTTGGTATTTTTAAACAATTGGTGAAAATTAGTGTTTGAATGAATTTGGCTGGTTGGACTATCCAATCTGACCAGTTCGCCTGCCTAAACAAAGTTGAGTAACATTTTTGTAAAATATTTCATATTCGAAAACTATTTGTTCTCATTTTTCTTTAATTTTGAATAATCCAACCCAATGTATTCACCGGGGTTGACCAATTTTGATTGGGCCAGGGCCCCCACCGGTTCAGTGGTTGGTCCAATACCATAGCCTAGTCATTTGATGTCCTAGGTGGGTCAAGAGCATGGCCCCAAAGTTTAGAAGGGCTCTTTTAGACCATGAAATCTCGGAATTTTCATCCGTCTCGGCCATCATCCACTCTTAATAATCTTCAAGCTACGGGGGCCAACAAAATCATTTGGTCCCCTTCACGCTCCGGGGTATTCACTGTCTCTTCTTTTTACCATATCCTTTATCAACCCCTCTCATCGTCCCCTTCCTCCACAATCTTAGCAAGAAGAGCCTGGCTGAATCCTTTACCCTCTAAAATCCAAATTTCTTACTTGATTGTGATTCTCATGAAAGTGCTCACTGTAGACCAACTACAACAAAGAGGTTTCTCTCTTCCAAATTGATGTATCATGTGCAAAACAGCAGAGGAAACTAATACACGCCTTCTTCTTTGCTGCAAGTGGCTAGAACTTCGTGGGTTGAAAGGCTTCAAAACTTCAAGTGGAAGTGGGTTTAACTCCATTCAATGTTGGAGCTATTCCAAGCATTTTCCTCAGCATCATTCCCTGTTGAAAATTTTCTCTGGCGAGCGTCAATGGCAGTGATAATTTGGGTCACTTGGACTGAAAGAAATGCTTGTATTTTCGAGAATCTCGAACGGGTCAAAGCATGGACAATTTCTTGGGCCAAACAAGGATGACGGGAGATGTATTTTCGGGATTTCTATGCCAATTTTGGTGCCAAACAATGAAGATGGCTCATTTCCAGGAAAAAAAAATCTTCTGAAAATTAATTTACATGGACCCGAATGGCATTCTAAGAGGATCGGGATTGGTATTCGTGCAATTCAATGCTCATGATTTTTAACAATACTAATTCTCCCAAAAATGAATGATGTGGAGAAATTGTGTGCTACATATTTTTTACTGACTCAATTTGCTCTGTTCCCTACTTTTTATCAGAATATGTTTAATGGGCTATTGAGTCTTTCTGATGCTACACTGGTCTTCTTTGATTCTAAGTTTATCTACATAGTGCTCTGTGCATCTTCTTCTTGGATCCAACATTGCCAAAGTTTTTTGCTTAAATTGTCATATTTGTTGTTTGATGTGAGAGGGACCAATTAAATGGTCTTTTATGAAAAACTTAATATGTTCAGTGTGTTGAACTTCTGTGAAACGAACAGAGTCTGGAATTGCTGTGGCTACTTCTAAAGCTCAATAACTTGAAAGCAAATGTGCAGAAAGGGTCATTATTTACACAGAATGCTGAGAATTTAGTGGACGGTATTACTGCCAATTGTTGAGAGATTCCTAAGTCCTAACAGCTGTTCTCTTTGTAGCTATGTGCAGTATGTAATTTTTAAACAGACGTTGAGCAACCCTGGTTCCTTATCTGGCAGCTTGCAAAAATGTAGTTTTTGGTCATGATTGAGAATGGAATTTGGGTTTTTATGATTAAGGGGTCATCACTTGGTGTGACGGTAAAAGGCTCGGGTAGCCAGCGCAAGAGCGCGGGTTCGAGTCCTGAGAGCGGTCACTTTGTGCATAAGCCAAGGGTTAGGACCGTTTATAGCCCACTCCTCCTGGGACCCTGCTTAAGCGGGACCAGCACTGGGTTATGGCCCTTTTATGAGTTGTCTCTGAGTTGAATTCTACCATTGTGGCCAGAGCCAGCACTTGGCTTTTTATGAATCTAGTGTCTTGTGCCTTGCTGTTTCTTGGGCTTCTTTAGTACACTTATAAATTTCTATGGGAAACAATAACCAATGGTGGCATTTAAACACATTTATTTTACACACAGCTTCTCGCATCTATTTATTTGGTCTGGAAATGTGCTTGCTTCAGTTTTCTTGCTATCATATGATTTCTGGTCCTTCTGCTCTTTGTAGTTACATCAGCAGCTGTATTGGATTTTTGTAGGTATCACCTTTTACAGGTATTCTTGATAGTTTTAGTTATGCCAATTAACGGTTGATTTACTGGTGTTGATGCATCATCATTCAGATACCTTCTAATTCTTCCTATCCTTTTTGTTTGAATCCTTTCATGTGTTTGGATTGTGCTCTGTATGCTGCTTTTTGTGGATTTCTATTTAGCTGTTTTCTTCTGTTACACCGACTTTATTTGAGTTGTTTGGGCTACTGATATTTTTGGGGTTCTGAGGGTCCTATATAAAATGCAACATTGAGTTTAGTTATCTGAAATGCTTGGGATCTTTTGGCAGCAAGCACACACGAGTTCATCCCTGGGTATTCAACCTGAGAGAGAATCAGATATGCCGTACTCTCCATTCCTTCTAACACAGTCAATGCCAACAAAATATAGCACCACACTATCTTCTATTAGTGGTCCGATTTCTTCCGTACCAGAGGTATTGCCCTGATCCCCACCAATCCAATGAGACGACTGTGTCTCTCTTTTTGTCCAATGCTCCTTATAAGTATTGATGCGGAAATTGTCTTGAATGCATGCAGCTTGCAAAAGCAAATGCATTTCGCATGCCTGCACAGCCATCTCTTCAGACCCTGCCAAGCACTAGCATTCCCACCATGCCTCAGCAGCAGCAGCAGCACCTTCCTTCTGTGCATGCTTTCTCACAGCCAACTGCTCTTCCTTTAGGCCAATTTAGCAACATGCTTAGCTACCCCTATTTACCTCAGAGCTATGCTTATTTGCCTTCCTCTGCATACCAACATGCTTATGCAGCAGGCAACACTGGGTTCCATCAGTCTCCATCAGCTGGGCAAGGTGCTGCCGGCATCAAGTATTCATTACCGCAGTATAAGAACAGCGTTGCTGTGAGCAGCTTGCCTCACTCAGCTGCTGCAGCCTATGGGAGTTTTGGAACAAATCCCCTTGGGAGTTTTGCTCTGAATTCCTCTACGACAAGCTCTGGGAGCACAACAATGGGTTATGATGACATTGTAAGCTCGCAATATAAGGATGGCAGCCACTATGTACCTATTCAACAGGTTTTGCCTGTCTATATGATATTTATTCCCTCATGTTTTTTTTTTGGTTGGATTTGAGATGACCTCCTTAAGTTTTATTTCCCCTTGAGGGGAGGAACTCACTCAACTAGAATATTTTTTTGTAATTTCAGAATGAAAGCTCTGCCGTGTGGGTCCATGGGCCTGGTTCGAGGAATGTATCTGCTATCCCAGCCAACACGTACTACAGTTTACAGGGCCATAATCAACTTGGTGAGTTTCGACAGCCTCAGCAGGCTTCTCACTATAACACATTGGGGTATCCGAATTTTTACCATGCCCAAATGGGAGTTGCTCCTCCTGCTGCTGCTTTGGAGCATCAGCAGAGCCCAAGCGATGGTGGTTCTCGGGCTCCCTCGTCACACCAAATTTGGGCGCATGGTTACTGATGTTTTCTGAATATATCCTGGTTTTTCAGGTCTCCCAAGAGTAGGTTGTAGGGTTTGATCTGAGCTGCTTTTTATCGGGGTATGATCGTTGTTGACTGTTGAGTTCAGTTCAATTAGTTGTAAATACCTACGGTAACTTTTTTCAAAGAAGGTGGGGGTTCTCATCTAGGAACCAGATTGTACTGCTTGTGCTTTGGTTGAGCTTGTATTCTAGATTAGTTTTTACACTTCTTTTTAACTTTCGGTGCACCGACTAATTCACTAATTTGTTCCCGGTTTTTTTTTTCTCTCTCTGTGTTGGTCGTGAGAAGAGGTTTGTTGCATAGGACTCACTTTTTTTATAACAAGTAATTGTAACAGTGAGCATCGCTTATGATTGCAAAATATTGATGACATTGATAGTTGCTGGAAGCTTTCATTGATAGTTGCTGGAAGCTTTCTTTCGTCTTCCCTAGTACTTACTCCTTGCTATGTTGATAAGGGCAAATCGATCCAAGATATGTTATCTGTTTATTTTTTGTATTGGCGAAGTGATATTTGTTAGGTGAAGACCTATTACATGAGTTGATTTGGGAGGTTAAAAATTAGGCAGTGAGGAGCTGCTATACAACGGTTCTACTTAATCCCTTCCTACTTTTATCTCATTCCCTGAGCTTATTAAATGTTTTCCTTTTTTGTGCCTGCTCTGCAACGGTTATACTTAACCACCTCCTACTTTTCTCAATCATTCCTTGGAAATACTAATTTTTTCTTTAATGCCTTAAGATTGGGGTTTATTTTAACACATCTCAATCGGCTTTGAGTGGGGGCATGCATGAATGGCTGGTGCGGATCTAGGAGCTCCATCTTCCAATGGCTCCAAGAATGTGGATTCCCAAGCACACAGGACAAACATGACCAAGCCCTCTCCCCTGGACCCTCGAGCCCTTCTCCTGCCAGTCAAGAAAGGCAACACATTCAGGCGGCCACGAGGAAGGCCTGCAGGCTCAAAGAACAAACCAAAGCCCCCCATCATAATCACTAGAGACAGCGCAAATGCTCTTAAGGCCCATGCAATGGAGGTGGGTCCGGGCTTCGATATTGGAGAGTGCATCGCAAACTTTGCTAGAAGGAGAGGACGAGGTGTTTGCATAATGAGTGGGAATGGGTGTGTTATGAATGTGACCATGCGCCAAACCTCGTGTTCATCTGGTGCCATTGTGACTCTGCATGGACGGTTTGATATACTATCGCTATTAGGCTCATTCCTGCCCCCTCCCACCCCACCAGGGGTGACAGGCCTGACTGTCTTCTTGGCCGGGCCGCAAGGGCAGGTTGTTGGGGGAAGTGTGGTTGGCGCTCTTGTGGCTTCGGGCCCTGTCATAGTCATGGTTGCTTCCTTCATTGGTGCTACATTTGATAGGCTCCCATTAGACGAAGACAGGGGAGAACATCAGCAGCAACATCATCATGATATGTATAACGTGCCACCCAACTTACTGCTCACGAGTGGGGCGCAGCCTCAGGAGCACTACTCTTGGATATCAGCAGGGAGACCTGGCTATTAATCGTAGCGCGTTGTTTTAAGAATTGTCAAGTAGTTTGGTGTGAAATCATTTGTTCTATATTCTATATACCAATCAATCTTATCTTTACCCCTGTAGTACTAATCCACCGGTTTGATGGCACCCTTCACTCCTGTCCTTCTTGCTGGTTGGTTGAGAGAGAGCATTGAACGAAAGAACTCTGTCTACGCTTTTCAAATTCCGATTATATTTGCTACAATCTCCATACCAGTGATTGAAAAATTGTCTGAGTAGTTTCTACTCGGTTGAGTGGTTTCTACTCTGCCGAGTTACTCGGGCTCGGACCTTTGCTGAGCTCAAGTTGGGTGTCCAACATAGGGATATTAAGAAACTTTAAAAATATGAAAGATCCTAAAAGATAAGGAATTTATTTGGAATATTTTTTTTGTTTTTGTTTTCTGTCGTTGTGGCAAAGATTGGAGAGTGTTTTGGCTGTATATACTTACTTTTACATTTTTCCATCTTTTTAGGATTATTTAAAAAATACCCCCTCCCCCCCCCCCCCCCCCTCTGTCACAAGTTGATCTTTGAAAATCTATTTTTTTAACTACTTTTTAGATGTTATTTTGAAGTGTTTTGCTTAATCTTACATTAAACATTTATTTTTCCTATTTTTTAAAAATATCTTATTCTTTATTATTTTTTGACAATTTTTTGCTACTACAATACTGAGCACTAATGGGGCTGAGTTACTCGGACTTGGCCGGAGTAATTGGCTCAGGCCAGGACTGATTATTTGGGCCAGGACTGATTATTTGGTCCGAGTCGCACTTTCTAGCACTGCTCGACACTTCAAAAGCGTTCATGAATTTGGACAAAAATTTGAAACCTTTTGAAGTGAAATAAAAGCGCAATTTTTGTAAATGATTTCCAATTTTTGGGATCCGACCAAAATTGCAAAGCCTAGAGATATTCATAGTCGTAATATTGGATTTCCTCCAATTATTAGTACTGTATCCTATTACTTTGGGAGTTTATTTCATGCATGCTAGTTAAAGCATCCAAACTGGTGGAGCGTTATGATGTTAGTGAACACCTAGTACAATATATTAGCATTTACCCAGAAGAGAAAAGAGCACGCCACATTATCAAATAGTCAAGTGCCAAAGAGGCTTGAACTCTCAAATCAAATAAAACAGAGACTTGCACTCTGGCTATCCCTCATATCCTTTTCTTGGAAGGGGATCACACAAGCTCAAGTTAAGGCCCCGTTTGCATATCCAAGTTTCAGTAACGGGGCCATATTTTTCCTGGTAAACGACCAAACTTGGTCTGCTGCACTATTCATAGGTGACGTGTTAGTTTTGGAAAGGGGAATATGGAGTTTTTTGCAATATGTAAGGGCATCAGTCAAAATTGCTTTGCTTTGGCCGAAGAGCTGAAGCTTTCGGATTTTAGGCTAAGACCAAAGCCAAGCGAAGGTTGGTGCTGTCGTTTTGGTGAGGTTCAGATGTGTTTCGACCGATTCGGGTTTGCTTTGGGCAGATTCGGCCGAAGCTTCGGCCTCTTTGGCCTAAACGAAGAAATATCTATATAAAAATATATTTTTTTGGAATTTTTATTTTTAATTTTTTTTATTTTTATTATAGATATAAATATCCAATTTATTTATATTGAAGTTTTTTAAAGAGGTCCGAAGTCTTCCACCAAATCGACGGAAACACCAAATTGTTTTATTTTTCTCAACAAATCGAAAAAGACTCCGAAATGAAACTATATTGGTTCAAACTTAAGATACAAAAGTCAATTTTTACGCCCACATTGCCTTGAAAGACGCTTCTCCATGACTGTAAGTCAAATATTTATTTAGAATCTAGGGTTTGGTGCTTCCAGTTTTTGTGCGTGCTTATAAACACATACACATGCATATGGCCCCTCTGCTGAGTCTGGTAGGGTTGGCAACAGATCGGGTTTAAGCGGGGCCAGCCCTAGCATGGCCCACCCTACTCTTATTGGGGCCTCCCTGATAGGCTCGGGCCAAATGGAAAATAATGAAAAAAAAGAAGAAAACTATGAAGAACAATAGGGTCGGGCCAGGCTAGCCCTGTCTTGGCCTGGCCCAGCCCAACACTAAGGCCACATTTGTGGCCTCAGCCTAGTTGCGGTTGAGATTTGGTTTTGATCCAGAACCTATTCTTTTTTCTAGTTAAATTGTGATTTAACTGCGGTTTAGACAAATTAGTTACATAAATGATTAAAGTCTATTAACTACTTAGCGTAAAGGCCCGAGTGTTCACCATAGTTAATAATGTTTTATGACTTTCAGGCTGCAATTATGATTGTTCACCACGGTCGATAATTTTCCATAAACTTTTGTCACAATTTTTTGTGCTCCGCGACCTTCTTGCCCCAATTAATTGGGTTTTCGCAACCTTTAGCTAACTGAAACCGGTAGCTTAGTTACAAGTGATACTACCACCTTAACTTCAATCCCAGTCCTGACTTTTTCCTTTTCTCTTTGCCGCCATGGGCTTTGCCATGCGTTTCACACATACAACTCTCCGTACATGATTGCAGGATGCCATTTTGGCAGCTATTCATTGTAGTTATGCAAATTATTCCCATCTCTTTACCGCCGTGGGCTTTGCCATGGCTCTCACACATGAAATTCTCCGTACATGATTGCAGGATGCCATTTTAGCAGCTATTCATTATAGTTATGCAATTAATATATATATATATATATATATATATATATATATATGAAAAATGCTGTATATATGAAAAATGTTGAGATTAGTCCACTAGTTCATATGAACATATGAGCTCAATGATTCAGATTGAATCTGCGCCGATCTGAAGGTCACGACCTCATTTTATATTTGAATTTTAATATTTTTCTACAAATATAAATGATTTTAAATTTTAGGCGTCTATTCTTCTCATGAAAGTGCACTTAATAAAAACATTTAAAAAATAATTCAGTTACCCTCGAAATTTTCAGGGGTATTTTGGTTTATTTATTTATTGTAAATTATTTTTTTGACATTTTTATTAGATTCTTTTATTTTTGAAGAATACACTTAAAATTTCAAGTTATTTGGATTAGTAGAAAAAACATTAAAATTAAACTACGAAATGAGGTTGTGACCGTTAGATCGGTCCAGATTCAATCTGGGCCATTGAGCTCATATATTCATATGAGCTAGTGGGCTAATCTTAGTATTTTTCATATATAGATATATGTGTGTGTGTGTATATGTGTGTGTCGTTTTTCACCTCTGTTAACTAATGCCCAATGAATTTTTGTTGTACTCAATCGGAAAATCTTCAAAACTTAACATTCAACTAATGGAATTCCTTCAAACTTGTACCAAATCAAAAGCAAACAGATCTTTCTATGGGCAAATTGATATGAAATAGTATGTTCTTCAGATGTTCTCGCGAGCATGCAACTTGGAGAACTGACACCATGCTTCACTAGGCTTTATTGTATCATGGGGATATTTTTATTATGACTATTTGATCTTATATCGTCTTAGTCGAGGGCATTAAGAGATTGTTCATCGAACTGACTTCCAAAAGCAATGTTGAGAATTTTGAGCAGCCATGACCGAGGGTACCATGAACAGCCACGATGGAGAGCACAGGTGATCCTCTCATGGCTTTGTTGAAGGGGTTTCACCATGGTGAGGATCCTGCCGTAGTGAACCTTGTTGAACCATAGTCCCCCATTTTGTCTACTGTTAGGAATGACGTTTTTGTTTCTTCGTCTGCTTTAGAGAGCTCCAGGCAGGAAGCCCTTACCATTAATGGTGGCTTCAAGCATATTGAGGAGGCATTCATGAAGATACTAACAAGATCTAAGATCACCAAGGCCTCCTCGTGGTTACTAAAGGTCACTTCTAGGTCCTCTTCATCAACCAACTATAAATATGATCACCTCCAAAAGAGTACTCGCTGTCCTCATCATAAAAATCCTCAGAAAGGTAAACAAAATTGTGATTTTGGCATTGTGATGAGACATGCTTAATGGCAGAAGACTTGTAGCACTTGATGCTGTTACTAGCACCCTTTTGGGGTTGCTTAACTCTTGAAACAACCCCTTTTGGTTCCAAGGCACTTAGTTGGTTGGTCGTTCCAGCAATGTTGAATCTCAAACTAGCACTTTCATGCTGCATTTTCTTCCTACATCACCACCACAGACTGCCACCCTATTGCTCCCCTCACTCGCACCACACCTCACTTGTTTGAGGGTCTTTTTGTTGAGCTTCAACCCTCTTTACAAGGTTATAGATCTCATCAAGGTCCAATAATACTATAAAACCACCATATCTTGAATTGATTGGGGCAAGCCATTCATATACCTAGCAATGAACTGCTCCTCACACTCGATCACAACACTATGGATAATCAAAAGGTCAAACTCATCTATATATTCATCCACTGATCTATCTCTTTGGTGCAGCATATGCAGTTTTTGATATAAAGACTTTAAATAATGTCTAAGGAGATATTTTTTCTTTATCTTTTTCTTCATCTTCTCCAATGCAAATAATTAGGTTTTCCCTTTGTTTTTCACCTTGCACTCCGCTGTTGCCACCATACCGAAGCGCTTTTGTCCAATTTAATGGCAACAACTTTAACTTTTTTTATTCTTTGCTCTTCCTTGTAATCAAAGGCCATCTCTGTTGTGTTTAACCAATATATGAGGTCATCGGCTGCAACTTTCGTTCAAATCAAGAATATCTACTTTTAGGTCTATAAATTTGGAGTGCTACGTATACTTCTAATCATTGCTCTTCACTTGAATCATCCCCAAGAGCACGATCACAAAGAGAATTACTCAATATTGTCTTGGAAGGATAAAACATCATCTTACCCACTGTTGGGATGATTTTAAGTTGAAATGTGTAAAGAATACAAAACAAACTCAAAAGTACCTCAACAACCACTCTGTTAGGGTATATTTGTGAACGAAGCTTTATTTTATTTCTAGAGATTGAATAGTTACAAGGTATATGTAGACACCTTGTTAATTACATCTATTGTCTCATACAATGGAGATGTGAAATACCTCTTTTTAATCAATCACAAATGAACTCGTCAAGCGAAGAAATATGGAGGAGTTAGTAAGTGAGTCTTGTTGTTAAGCTGCTTAATTTGTTATTCACATAAAATGGCAAAAACTCATAAATATTTAAGTGCGCCTGCTATCTCTTAGTGATTGTATTTTTTGAGCATATCTCTCACCTTTTTTTCTTGATTTCTTTAATTGAGCAATTTATAATCGTTGAACACTTTGATATAGTGTGTGTAGT